ACCCTCCTCTACCCTAGAATAGCACTGGCCCTGATGTAGTTCAGTTACTAAAGCATTTGCCTTGCATGCCTGAGGTCCTGGATCCAAACCCCAGAACCGGGGGAGGGGGGACCAAAGGGCGTTGTCTAGAATGTCCTTTCCCCTGTCCAACCTGACGAAAGACTCCATGCAGCAGATACCACTTCTTCCACGCAGCCCTCCGTGCTTTATCCACACCCCCCTCTTCCTTCCACCAGACCCATCTCCCAAACACAGTACTGTCTCTGACTTTATTCCTGTTTTTCATGCTTTTTACAGTTGAGCTGTACAAATCGTTATTTCTTTGGTTTTGATGGAACCAGGGACTAAGTCCAGGGCCACACATATACATGCAGAACACATGCTCCACTACCGAGTGACAATCCCAGCCCCATACACAGGTCACTTCTCTGCGTGTCCTTCACCAGCTGCAGACTCTGTGGTTTTCCCTGATGGTGCCAATCCTTTGTAGTCATATGCCCTCGGTAATGTATGTGACAAGGGTGAATAATGAGTGAACGAGTGAGTGCCACATGGATGAATGGGTGGTCACCATTCAAGAAGAGAGCAGCCATGAAGTCACATGGGCAGCGAAGCTAAGTGATAGCTAACATCCCCTCCTGCTCTCTGTGAAGGAGCACTCCTAGGGAGAATGGAGGGACAACGGCATGGTCTGTAACTAAGCCCAGAGGAGCAAGGCTGGAAGGAGGCAAAGGAGCAGAGAGACAAGAAGGCAAGGCAGAAACTGGCAGCAGCCCACGGGGGAAAAGCTCCCGAAAGAAGAACTGAATGCGTGTTAGCGGTCCTGGAGAGTGCCCTAGGACTCAAGAGGGGGGCAGGGAGAAAACAGAAGCACAGTCCCTGCGATTTCACAAGAGAAAGAACATTTATGAGGTGCTTGAGAAAACCTTCCAGAGATATCTGCAGAAATAAGTCAGTCCCCAGGGGAGTAGGAGGACCTGGCCAGCGAGGAACAGAACACCCAGAGGGTGGGGTTTCCACGCAGGCGCTGCCCCGGCCTGGGGACACAGGGAACACTTCACCATGAGGGCAGGGGCTTGGCACTGGGGCTCCCAGGCCAGCGAACAGGGGGTCTGTGTTGAACTGCCTCATTCAGAATCCCCAGTGCCCACCACTGTCTCCCGCCAACTGCTCTCCTCATTGTCCGTTTTTGCTGAGATTGGGATATTGTATGTGTCATGTGAGTTCATGCCTCTTATCACCATGTATTTGTACCAATTTCTGGTTATGATCAGCATGCCAGGGAGAAACCAATCTGGCCTCCTGCCTAATGAGCAGGTCACCTATGGTCCCTTGTCATGACAACGTGGACCAGGCCTAGAATAATTCACAACTGGCTTGACCAGACAAGTTCAGAAATTATATAAGGGTTGGAGAGATAGTACAGTGGGAGGGCACCTGCTTTGCATGCAGACAAACTGGGTTCTATCCTTGGCTCCCATATGGTTTTCTGAACCCCACCAGGAGTGATCCTAAGCATAGAGCCAGGAGTAAACCCTGAACATCACAGGGTTTGGTTAAAAAAAAAAAGTTTTATGGATCATTAAGCTCTGTTTTAGGTTGTGCCTTTTAACTTTTTAACATTTCTATGTTGGGCCAAAGATGTAGCTTAGTGGCAAAGCACATGTCTTCTATGCAAGAGGCCTGGGTTCCATCCCTACATAACAAGAAAAAAATTTTTTCATTGTATCTTCTGTAAAATAGGACCAATAAAACACCCACCTCCTAGCACATGCTGTACAGATAACAGGGGCTGATCCTTTAAAGCACTCTTGCATGCTTCCAGACAATATCAAGCGGTCAATTAATATTTACCTTACTTATAAGCACTTTTCAGATATATGAGAAAGAATGCAGTGGGCAGGATTTTGTGGCTTAGAGAAGGTCTTTGGAAAGAGTGCCAGAATCTTCTAAAATCCAGTCTCCCACAAAGGGAAGAGTCAGCTTCTACTTTCCAAAAAGCCAAATACTTCCACGACCAAGGGACTTTTTGTCCATTTCCTTTAAAGAGCAGCACTTAGAGAAGACGTAATTGTAGCTGTTTGTTAGGGACTGTGGCTTCATTGTTTCATGACTCCTAACTGCTCCTGGTCAGTTCAAATGGTGGGCACTGGCGGCAGCAGCACTGAAAGCACTTTCCCAAAAAAAGTCATAGTTGAAATATTAATAAAGACCCTGCTCTTTCAGACATTATAGAAGCTTTCAAGCATGCCAACCCCTTTCCGGTCTTACCAGCTTTCCCTTTCAAATGTCCTTTTTGAAACAAACCTTCCCTCTCACTAGCTATCTACAAACCAAACTCATGATAATTTTTTTCTCATAATTTTTAAATGAACTTTTGGGAGTTCATGTAGAGAGTACAGCAGATGGGGCACTTGTCTTTTAGGTGGCCCACCTGGGTTCAATCCCCAGATCCTATATGGTCCCCAAGCTCCTTTAGGAGTGATCTCTGAGTGCAGAACCAGGAGTAAATCCTGAGCACTGTCAGGTGTGGTCCCAAAAAACAATAAACAAACAATGAAATTTTGGAGATTGATACAGAAATGAGGCACCAACTCATCATTTCTTCCACAAGAGGGCGATATTTGCTAAAATAAATAAAGGGTTCAGTGGCCACAAGGATTAACAGGTGACATTAAGAGCCAGCTGGAGCCCAGTCTTGGCTGCCCTAGCCACCTGTGGAAACTGGAAAACATTGTCTGGGCTCTATCCCCAGAGTCTGTATGTGGGAGCAAAATGATGTTGAAAATCCAGTCTTTAAAGGTTCTTCAAGTTGGGAACCACTGGTTTAGAGAAGTGAAAATACGATTTCATTAAGCCACCCCCTCCCATCCCTCCACCCCATGACATACTCAGATTCTGCTGCGGTCTCTGTTAAGTCTGAATGAACACACACACCTTGGTAAGGAACAGAGTTTGTTTATATACCAAGATCATGACCTTTGCCTTGTCTGGTGGAGTGTTATTTACTGCAATTTCCAGAGAGGTGAGTTACTAACCCCTGTCAGGTCTCTGAGACAGGCAGATCACGTCCACTTCCAAGGCATCCCACAAACATGCCTCCGTTTCTACTGGCATTTGCCAATGACGCCAGTTTTTGGTTTATCATAAGCAAGAAGCTATTGAAAACAGTACTTGACTGTGGAGCAAGATTATGAACAAGACTGCCAGAAATCAAAACCAGAGCTTATCAGTCGAGCTGCCAATCAAATTGAGAAGTACAGGAAGCATGTAAACGGATCATGCTGGAGCACAATGCAACTGGGGCTGGAGATGCGGCTCCAGAGCCAAGCTCATGCCTGGCAAGTATGCGGCCCCGAGTTTAATATCGGCACTGTAAAATCAAACAGTGATATTAACAACCCCTGATAGATGCATAATAAAGTCTGAGAACATCTAACAGTGCAGTCAAAGTCTGGGGATTTGCACCCACTTGAATACAAGGTACATATTTGTGTTTTATCTGCTGTGTTCAGGGTCACAGTGACATTTTTTTTAATTATTAGAAGGCTGCAAGAGGTCTAGCACAGAAAGTTCCCCTCCCAGACAAACTCTGTTTGAGAAAAATTGCTAGAGAAGAGATGTGAGAATGTGATAACAGCGTTTCCTGGCCAGGCTTCTCTTTGAACTCAAGCACACAGTCTCACACATCCTGTTGTCAGTTTGCAAACCAGACAGGTGACCAACTGAAGGCTAGTCCAGGCCAGGCTGTGAGCGACTCCTGATCAGTGCCAGGCCACCCCCTTTCCTCACCTCTCTACTTCAGCCGTGAGCCTTTCTACATTCAGACATGCAGGGAACATTTCCCCACCTGTTGCCCATTTTCACAGGTGCCAGCATTAGCCCACACTTAAACTGGTGTGTTGGGTTTCACCGGCATCAGTAGATTGTGATCTAGAGGATTTGGGTTTGCCATGTGTATTTCTGTCTGAGAAAGCTGAACAGGGTTGGTCATGGAGACTGCCCTGCTCTTTCCAGCATTACTAATGGTTCCCCTCTCAAAATCTAAAAAATCATAGGCTGTCCTCAGAGCAAGTTAGGAAAAGTGAGGGCCTTCCCCGCCCCAGCCCACCCCTGGGGAGATATCAAGGTGGTGCTCTGAATTTTAGTTTACTTTCTCTTATTACCAGCCATCACTTGTCTCTCAGCCCAGGAGGAGAGGACAATCCCCCTCAATACAACCTCCCACCCCAAAAAAACTGCAGGGCTCTTGAATTCAAGTAAACAGCCCATAACCCTCAATCAGACCTTGTATAAGTCCCACCCACTCACTCCAATGAGCTGTGACACATGTCACCTCAAGTCTCATGAAGTCACTCCAACAAATGCCACGAGGCCACCTCCAAACACACAAGAACCAAGCAGGCTGGTCACCTCCTTCTGCACACACTTATCATTGTTGGCACTTGGTCGAGCTTCATTGCAGAGGGAACCAGGGGCAATAGGACCTGATTGGAGGGGAATTCCTGAGGGCCAAGAAAGGCATGAAAGAGGCCATCAGCACAGCTGGGGGACCCCAGGGCTGGAGACCCACGGATTAGAAGCAGAAGCGCAGCGTTTGCTGGAAGCCTCATTCAGGAGATCGCCGCAGATCAGCTCTAGGCGCCTCTCCCGGGCTTGCCCCGTGCCAGCCGTGGTGGACTCTGTCACAGCGAGTCCCTCGGAGGGGTTATGGACCATCTCGGGCATAGGGAACGCCCGCGCAACGGCCTCCTTCAGCCCTAGGATCAAGGTCCTCGCCTCGATCGATCAGCGTTCCAGATGCCAGCTGCTGAGGCCTGGAGCTCCACTCCAGCTGCAGTGACCGTGGCTGTCGCGCCGCCAGCTGGAGGCCCGTTCGCGGCAGCCCCGCCCCTCGCCCTGCCCACGGCCAGTCGCGGGCCCGCCCCTCTCCAGGCCCCGCCCCCGGCCCCGCCCCGACCGGAAGAAGCGGCGGCTCTCGGCTCTTAAAGGGCCGGGAATGGGGGTGCCGCCACCGCCTAGTCCGCCCTGCGCCCGCTCAGGTCCCGCCGCCGCGCTGTCGTCGCGGCGCCCCCGCCTGCTCCTCCACCCGCCCGTCCGCACCGCCCCCTGAAGCCGGCCGGCCGGGCCCGGAGGCAGGGCCGAGTCCTCGCCATGCCGGCCCGGCGGCCGCTGGGGCTGCTGCTGCTGCCGCTGCTGGCGCTGCTGCTGCCCGGCCCTGGGGTGAGTGACCGGGGAGCGTGGGGTGGGCGACAGCGCCGGGCAAGGGCCGAGGTCCGGGCGGGGAGCGCGGCGCCGGCGCGAGGCCCCCGGGAAGCCCGGGCCGAGGATCCGGCGGGACGCGGGCGGCCAGTGTCCCCGGACCAACCCGAAGTGAGTGGCCGCCCCTCGCGGGGCCTCGCGAGCCGGACACCGCTGTCACCGGCCGCGCCTCGCGGGCGCCGCCCTGGCCGCCGCTTCGGGGTCTGCAGAAGGCCCCGGGCCCGGGGGAGGCCGCGCCCCCTGCCGGACCCCGGGGCAGGTGGGCAGCCCGCGGCGCCCGGCTGGGCAGGAGGGAAGGGCCGGCTCCGACACCGGCGGGGTGTCTGGGGTTCGGACTCAGCGGCAGCTCTGCCAGCGCGGGTGCCCCGGGGGCTGCCCTCTGCCCACCTGCCTCGCGGGTCTGCCGGCGTCGGGGGCACTTCTCGGATCCCATATGGGACCCCCCAGGAGCCGCTTCCCGCCGGGGAGCTGGCGCGGGGCCGTGGGAAAAGTTCATTCCATCCTTCTCCTGGACACGCGTGTCTCGTTCACGCCTCTAAGCCTTGCTCCAGGCCTTGCTCCACGCCTGGGGATCTGGGCAGCGTGGCCGCGGAGGACATTTTGTGCGGGCAGACTAGGCAATTTTTCTTTTGCTTACAAGTAGCATGAATTTGTGTGTCTTACCCACCCACCCCCCACCTTTTTTTTTTCTTCTCTCGCTTGTTTGTTTAAAATAAAAAAAAAAAAAAGGACGTCCTGTTCAGGATGTGGGTATGGCACTGCGGTGCGGGCTGTTCAGTGACCTCCAGTGTGTACTTTTTAATATGGCATATCATGTACCAGGCGCCCAGGTGGAGCATGGACATGTGTAGCCCAGCATGAACTCCTGGGAGGCTGTGCACTTGAGATCACTAACAGTGCCCCGAGAATGCAGAATGCTCAAGTCCACCTTTATCGAATTCAGATGTTTGTGTGTGTGTGCCTGTGGCTGGGAGTTCCTGCTCCTAGTGGAGCCTGGGATCAAACTTGGGCCTCCCACATGCAAAATGTGCACTTTTTTGAACTGATTGTATTCCTTAAGGAAAAATTTGTACACACTTGTTATAGAATTTATCTAAGTTTCCCTTCTAGTTTATTATTTGTTTTTTGTTTTTTTTGGGCCACACCGGGTGGTGCTCAGGGATCACACCTAATAGTGCTGTGGATACCATTTGCCGGATTGGAGATCCGGCCTGGGTCAGCCATGTGCAAGGCAGGCACCCTACAACGGAGGCTGCACTATCTCTCCCTCCCTGTCTTCTAACTTAGGAAATCCACATTCACAGTTGAGGTCAGGGTTTGATGTGGTCTGGTTACCTGCTTTCTGGCATCTATTCCCAAAGTGCACAGGCAGAATGACCAAGTGCAGGCTATGGAGCTCGATGGCTGGCGTGGGTACAGTGTAGTTGGCGTAGTGTAGAGGCTATGGTATAGTGGATGGTGTAGAGGGCATGGTACAGTAGGCAAGATGTAGTGGGAATGGTGTAGTGGGCATGGTGTCGTGGGCTTGGCGTGGTGGGCACAGAGTAGAGGGTACAGACCGCAGGGCATTCTTTGCCATACCTCTTCTCTTGCTAGTTTTAAACTGCATTCTCATTTTTTACTTGTTGAATACCTTAGGCTGGTGAACTGAAAATAACTATTTAGCTTTTGGTGGGGACTATCATGTTAGTTTGTATAAATATTTCCGAACTGTGTGTGGAAATCCAGACTCTTAAGAGTGCGTGGTAAAATGCTCCAGGTGCTTACCGAAAGGTTTGGTTTTAGTCTGACTGCATTTTAGGCTAAAAGGTCAAAATTGCACTCCCCAAATCATCTACCAGTAACATTTTCAATTCCCAAATCGAGAATTATCATTTTAAAATGCTAAATAAGGGGTCAGGGAGGTAATAGGGAGGTAATACAGAGGGGAAGGCACTTGCTTTGCTTGAAGCCAGACTAGGTTTGATCCCAGCACCCATATGGTTCCTTGAGCATTGCAAGGACATATATACATATATATGTATGTATGTATGTTTATATGTATGTTTTAGGGCCACACCTGGGAATGCTCAGGGCTCACTCCTGGCTCTGCGCTCAGGAATCATTCCTGTTGGTGCTCAGGGACCATATGAAATATTGGGGATTGAACTCAAGTCAGCCACGTACAAGGCAAAGCCCTATCCACTGTACTATCTCTCTGGACCACAAAAAATGTTTGATGGGTACCTGATATACAAAACCCATTTTACTGACTGTGGGCAAAGCGCCTGGGAGAAGGGACCTGCCGGTTCAGCGGTCAGTGCTAGCGGTTACCACTCAGAACTCTGCAGCTGTGAAATGGGGACACTGCTCAGTCGGGGACGCTGCAAAGAAGAGCACAGGGGGGAGCAATAGGACAGTGGTTGGGGCATTTGCCTTGCTTGTGGCCAACCCAGTTAGATCCCAGGCATACCATATGGTCCCCTGAGCAGTGGCACATGTGAGGTGCCTTGAACCCATCTGAGAAATAAATGTGAATGTCCTCCCTTACCTCAAGGTTCAGTATGCTCCTTGAGGTACAATCTTTGAGGTAGATCTCCTTGAGTAAAATCTTTCTGCAATTGTTGCCTTTGTTTTTGCCAATAACCAGTCATCTTCTTCTAATGTTACATTTTGCTCTACAAGGGGCCTTTTAAAGGGTTTCCTTCCTTCCTCACACCTGGTGGTACTTCAGGCTTGGACCTGACTCTGAGCTCAGAGTGCCTTACCCGTTGTATTGTCACTCTGGTCCCCAGGGTTCGGTTCTTTCTTTTAAACTGCTGAGTTGATTCCTGCATGGGAAACAGTGTTGTGCCTTCCTCCTCCTCCTCCTCCTCCTCCTCCTCCTCCTCCTCCCTCTCTCCTCCCTCCCTCCCTCTCTCTCTTCCTTCCTTCTCTCTTCATCTTGTCTTCTTGTTCTTTGGGCCATACTCATGGCCACAAAACCATGGCCACACTCCTGGTTCTGCACTCCGAATCACTCCTGACAGTGCTCCGGAGACCATATGGAATGTTGGGGACCACACCCGGGTCAGCCACCTGCAAGGCAAATACACCACCCGCTGTACTATCTCCTGTACTTGTCTCTGAGGGTGTGTCCCACTGAGCCCCAGGCTGAGACTCCCCACTACAGTTCCAAAATGCACCAGCCTTGGTGCTCCTGAGCTCTCAAAACTGACTTGTTAGAGTAGCATGCACTTGTTCAGTTCGAGTTTCCTCTTTCCTAGCCCTGATGGTTGTTCCAGGTGTTGGTCTCTGTGTTCTCTCAGTACTCACGGGTAGCTTGCTTTGCCACTGGTAGTGCCACTTCTCCCAAATATTAAAGGGAGCTGAGAGGCAGAATAATGTCTTTGGTGGTAATATATGCAAGTTCTCTTATTCAGTCACGGGTAGGGCATTAGACGGGGTTAGAAGCATTCTGAGTGATAGTACAGAGTGGTGAACACCTGCCTTGCACACAGGAGACCCAGGTTCGATCCCTGGCATCCCACATGGTCCCCTGAGCACCACCAGGAGTAATTCTTGAGTGCAGAGCCCGGAGTAAACCCTGAGCATCACCGGGTGTGGCCCAAAAACCAGGTAAGGAAGGAAGGAGCGAGCCATTCTGAGAACTGGGCACCACTGAGTACAGAGAAACACCAGTGCTATCATCAGAAATGTGCGTTCATCTTTTTTAAATTTTTCTGCTTTTTTGGTCACATCTGGCGATGCACAGGGGTTACTTCTGGCTCTGCACTCAGGAAGTACTCCTGGCAGTGCTCAGGGGACCATATAGGATGCTGGGGGTCGAACCCAGGTCGGCCGCATGCAAGGCAAACGCCCTACCTGCTATACTATTGCTTCAGCCCCAATGTGTGTTCATCTTAACTTGAAATGTCCCTGCATCTCATTTATTCTGATGGTTATCACCTGTATGGGTTCTCCTGCTAGACGGCAAGTGTTTATACTGAGGTCAGGAGGAGGCTGTTTCGGGAGGTGCCTTTTCTTAGGCCATTTCTACTGCTGTCCACCATACATAAGCCATAGGGGTCCGTGAGGTGCCTGCCGGGTCCGTGAGGTGCCTGCCCACTTCGTAGCCACAGTAGGGCTGCTTCTCAGAACACAAGTGCCCGCAGACCAACACCCCTACCCGACCCGCACCCCCTACTCACACCAAGTGAGCAATGAAAACTGGACAGGAGGACCCGGAGCTTGGGCCTTGCCTGCCCCCGATTTGAAATCCAATTTTTCAGGCTGAAGAAACCCAGTAGTAACAATTTCATTTTCAGAGAAAGTTTTCTTTTGGGGGCAGGGGGTGGATTGGGGGAAGGGCAGGCTTTTTTGGGTGACACCTGGCGATGTTCAGGGGTCACTCCTGGCTCTGCACTCAGGAATTACTCCTGGCAGTGCTTGGGGAACCATATGGGATGCCTGGGATCAAACCCAGGTCGAATGCATGAAAGGCAAACGTCCTCCAGCTGTCCTATCGCTCTGGCCCTACAATTTCAGTTTGGGGGATCCAACGTCATCTTTGACTCCAACATTTGTGCATGCTTTGTAATGGTCTGGCGTTGTCCCTGAAGAGATGAATCAAGAAAGAGAAGCTTCATGTGTCATTTTTAATGGATTCCATTTCTATCATCACAAATAACTTGGGGCCAGTAACCTAGCAATATGATTAGAGTGTAATGCTGGCATACGAAGTCAGGCCAATGAATCAGAGCCGGTGAATAATGCACGTGTGGCCGGGCTGTGTTTCCCAGAGGTTGGGCGTCTTGTTTTCTTTCTGTCTTTATCTCTACCTGTATCCCGTGTGGTGTCAGATTTCCCTCGGAACAGCTCGGCATCAGACATAGTTAAGCAAGTGCCTCTGACCAGATATGGGCCGGGGAAAGTAGAGCTTCAGAAACAAACCACGTCTGGGACTGTCGCTCAGTGGTAGGGCATGTGCTTCTTCCCAAGTA